AAAGAAATCAACTAAGTGGTCATCGGGACCATCACATGATCATACGGAGCACAACCTTGTACACATTTTCGGTATGCTAACGAGTCATTCTGTTAAAAATCTAAAATATAAAATAATATTTATTGCTTGTTTCAAATTTTAATTATATATATATATATATATATATATATATAGTATATACTTTATTGCTGGTTATAGAATTCAATTATAAAAAATTTATGACTTCCGCACTCATTTGATTCTATAATAATAATAGAAGATACTGTAAATTCATCAAAGCAATAAATTAATTTTTTCAACATATTAACATAGTCCAGTTTTTTCATGTAAAGTTTTATAAGAGAGTCTGCAGTTCTAAAAAGTAAGGTTGCTCTACAACAAAACTCATCATTATCATTTTGAATGTGCTCATTGAGAAAATCATGTAAATCTTTACCACAGAGGATAAAAAGATTTTGTAACAGGAAAATGAACGTGGGTTTGCTGAGAACTTCTTTAAGGAAATTATGATTGCCATCAACTAAATATTTGAATTTTTCAACTGATAGTTTAATAGCTTTTTCGATGTCATTGAAATTCATGCAATAAGTTGGCATTTCCATTACTTTTTTCCATTCTGTAGAAATTTGATAAGAAAGTTCCCGGATGCGCTCTGCTAGAGAATCAATTGTAGAAAAACATTCTTGGAATTGGCGTGTGCTCTCAGCAAACGTTAATGAGGCCAAACAAATTAACACAGCTGGCCATGCATATAAGTCTGGCATGCTATCATGAGTAACATATCCATTTGCCACGTAAATACCACCTGTTACTAGTAAGCAATGAACCTTCATTGTAGGAGGGAATTTCTCAGTAGATTTAAATACTCTGAATCTGTTGTTTTTCCGTTCCATCGAAGAATATTATTTTGGTCTTGCATTTTATGAATTTGGTTTATACTATTCTGAGGATTCATTAGCCGAAAAAGATCTGGATCAATACACATCCATTCATCATTTTGTGTAGCGAAAAGGTGTTCCGATGTAAAAAATGCTGTTTTATCCTGAGAAATGCCATATAAGGATCTGTTTCCCAGCAATATATCATTTCTTCCAAGAACTTGACACGGTGCTCCATTCTTACCCACAATTATATCTCCTGGTTTGAGCTCTTCGATTGCTACCTTGGTACCGTTAACCACTGATATCAAAGTACCTGACCTAAGACATGACCCTTCCTGTGGATTCGGTGCCGTATCATTTGTCGCCAATATACGACTACTTATGGAAGTCTGTTTTTCTGAAATTGTTTTAGGAATGTAACTCAAATCACCTCCAAAAAGATCATTCATAGCTGCAGCCATTTGATCTTGAATACGGCTATTGTGTTTTCCAGCAACAATGTTTATTGGAATAAGCGAATTTAGTATTTAAAACAGCAGGTTTTATTTTAATGGATTTAAACTATTTTTCACTGTTTAAATTATAAAGTGTTGGAACGTGATAGTTTGGATCACCACCAGACATCTCTAAATTAGCTGTGTTTATTGCCTGTTCAATAATTTTAGATTCTTCCATTTCATTGCAAAACTTAGATTGCATTCCAAAATTGAAAATACGTGCTTCAATTCCAGCCATGATGAGTTCATTGTTTTGGGTGCTTATATTAGATGAAGCGACTTTAACAGTTGCAGAACAATAACTGCCGACCCAAGCTGATTGAACCACATGAGTCCCATTCTTTTCAAAGAAATTTTTCCACTTCTTGGGATTGTTTTCGTCATTTAGGAGGAAGAATATCAATATCATCTTTAAAGGCTTGAGATAATTTGAGTTCATCAATATTCAATGTAAACTTAAAACAATGACGTTCAATTAAAAATGTTTGCTCCAATTCATGATTTGAATTGTTATCTGATGACCCAATTGAGTAACCATGACGCAGATTAAAATTTTCAAAAACACGTGGAAAGTCTATAGAAAGACCAAGATCTAATAATCTTTTGTGAGTATATTGTTTCTTGTTTTCAAACCGTTCGCACCGATTGAAAGTTTCATTTGTCTCGTGAATGTGAATTTCACGAGGAACTTTAAAGCCCGTAGGGGACATCACATAATCCCCCAATTGAAAAACAGAAGAACCAACAGTATTGTCTTTGAAGACATCATAACATTTGCCAACTACTGGATCAATAATAGTCTCTGTCGTTTCCCGTTCAAGAGCTTGTTTCAAAAAGGTTAATAAATTCGCGGAACGTCGAGGATAGCTTGCATAAAGTTCTAGAAATTCATCACCATTTGGGATTTCCTGAATTGTAGTTATTCTATTTGCTTGAAGGAAGCTTGCAACCTCAATCGGTATTCTATCTACTAATTCATTTTTCATTTCTGTAGATAATAACGAGAATTTGTCCTCTATAATTTTTCTCAATTATGAATCTTCCATGGCCAATTTAATTTCTGATAATTTTGTTGTCATAAATTTTATGTTCTCGTCATCTTTATTTAAATCTTTGGCAGAAAGTTCATGGCCAATTTTAATGACACTTTTAGCAGCACTGGAAAAATACAAAGAAATTGTATCTTGTCCAATATAATCTTCCACGTTAAGAGTGTTCAATTTATTTATTGATTTATTTTCATTGTTTCTAGTTACATGGATAACACATTAAATTTTTAATTTCGACTTATTCCATTACGTACGTACGTAGTTAAAACACAACATCTCCTTAAATTAAAGATGTTAAGGTTTATAATTGAACAGAATTATTAGTGTTGTAATCTTTAATATCCAAGACTTTTTACGGTTAATTCCAAGAATGCCCAAAAGTGCTTTTTTATGTAACTTTATCATCGTTTAACAATTTGAATTTTGAGGGTTTGTGCAACTAGTACTTCCAGATCAGTAATAAACACATATTTTACCGACAAGCTTATTTTACAGACGATTAATTTATAGACAAATTCATTTGTGGACTGTATATTTCACAATAATTTTATAAATTGCATTAACCTTAACTGATTCTAAATATAACCTAACAACAATGACCAGAATTACCTTGTCTGTGAAATGAACTGTCAGTGAAATATATTGTCTATGAAATGAACCTGCTGTAAATTAATCGTCTGTGAAATAAGCAATAAGCTTGTCGGTGAAATGAGTGCCGATGAAATGTGGTGTCTTTGAAGTGATTGTCTATGAGTTGATCGGAACCGATTGTCAACTATCCAACTAATAAAATATTTTTATTTAAATTATAATCTCTGGTAAGAGATGCAAATTCATTTTTAGCTGCCGCAACGTCACGGCAGATTCTTGATTCTGATTGGCTAAGAGAGACGATCAAAAATCAGGCCGGAATTACTAATGAAATCGCAACCGCCTATTACAGCTGTTTTCATAAATTCTGAGACATCTAAAAATTTTCTCGTTTCCCAGAATCTTTTCGGTTTCGTCCGGTAAATTACCTAGCTCTCTGGAAACTACATCGCTATTTTCGAACCTTCAGTCTGGAGACAGTGATGTAGTTTCGGAGAGTTAGATAATTTACCGGACGAAACCGAAAAGATTCCGGGAAACGAGAAAAGTTTTAGGTGTCCCAGAATTTATGAAAACAGCTGTAAAGAGTT